GTGGCATGACCTCAGCTCGCCGCAACCTCTACCTCCTGGGTTCAAGCGATTCTCCTGCCTCAGTCTCCTGAGTAGCTGCGACTACAGGTGCATGCCACCACGCCTAGCTAATTTTGTATTTTCAGTAGAGAAGGAGTTTCACCATGTTGGCCAGGCTGGTCTCGATCTCATGATCCCATCATTAACTTGCCTTGACCTCCCAAAGTGCTGGAATTACAGATGTGAGCCACCACGCCCGGCCACTGACGCCTCATCTCTTACCTGGACTAGGGCAGTTGCTTCCTCCTCCTCTCCCAGCCTCTACCCTGACCCCCAACAGCTGCCAGGAGCGGCCCCTGTTCCAGGGAGAATTATCATTCTAGGACAGTTAAGTTTCTGAGTGTAACTCCCACATAATATGAACACACGTCCCCATTGCCAGTCTAGCCCCCGTGGGCTATTAATTATTCACAGTCCAACTTGCTAGTTTTTTCTGATCTGGCTTGTTTTCTGGGTCAGTTCTTGTCTCCCTGACTCTACGTTTTGATGTGAACCCCTACTCATCCTGTGAAGCCCCAGCTCCAATGCCCTCTTTTCCATGAAGACTTTGTTCTGGGTCTTTCTTTCCAGCCTTGACCAAGTGAGTGCCTAGAGGAAGATGGAGCTGGACACAGATAACCGTACCATGTTCAGATTCATGTTTTTGAGACAGGGTCTCACTGGGTTGCCCAGGCTGGAGGGCAGTGGTGTGTTCATATTCACTGCAGCCTCTAAACATGAAAAGTGTGTCCTGCTCTGGCCAGGTCTGAGGGTGGGCATCTGGCCTTGGGAAGGAGTGGTTTACACTTAGCACCATAACCCTTGGAAGCCTGGGGCTTCCCCTCCTCCTCCAGGGCTTTCCTGGCCCAGCAGCCATTACACATGACCTGGACAGCGTTGGTCACTGTGGCCCCAGGCCTCTAGCAAGAGGCCTCTCCCGACTTCCTCCTGTCTATGCCCACCTGGGCTTCTGCAGGTGTGTGTGTGTGTGTGTGTGTGTGTGTGTGTGTGTGTGAGAGAGAGAGAGAGAGAGAGAGAGAGAGAGACGAGAGAGAGAGAGCATGCAGAAGTCTGTCTACAGTTCAGGTTGATCTGCCCCCTGTGACTTCAGTGGGTCAGCCGGAATGTCCTATATCTCCACATGGCCTGGCATTCAGACCTGCCTAGGACAGGTAGCATGGGGACCTACCTTTGGGGCCGCTGTCTGCTCCAAGAGGACATGGTAGCTCTTCTCTTTTTCTTCTGGGTTCTCCTGGCCTGGGGAGGTGGCCTTACACCCGCCCGGACTGGGGGCAGGGGAGCCAACCTTGGGGAAGTCCCCACCCCTGTCCAGTTCCTGATAGGGGGTGAGCCTAAGCCAGGCAGGGGAAGGGGAGGGATCAGGATTACAAAATTGCTTCCTGGAAACTGTTTCCTGCTCAGCCCCATTTTGACCCTGCTTCTAAAACCCAGCCTTTTCTTTCCTTGTTTCCTGATTTTTGGGGGGCATCCAAGAGTCTCTCTAGTTGCAGCCTCACTTCCCAACCCAGAGTTCAAGGATCAAGGTTTGCAAGGCATCATCCCTGGAGAAAGGATAGCTCTTTGAGCAAGAGGAGCTATTTACCATAAACTTGAGCAACCAGGAAGCTCACTGAAAAGAACAAAAAAACTCGTCTTGACTTCATGGTACGCTGATCTTGCTTTTTCATAAATGAAGTCATTTAAAAAATACAATTCAGCCGGGCACGGTGGCTCAAGCCTGTAATCCCAGCACTTTGGGAGGCCGAGGCGGGTGGATCACGAGGTCAAGAGATCGAGACCATCCTGGTCAACATGGTGAAACACCGTCTCTACTAAAAATACAAAAAATTAGCTGGGCATAGTGGCGCGTGCCTGTAATCCCAGCTACTCAGTAGGCTGAGGCAGGAGAATTGCCTGAACCCAGGAG